GATCTTCAAAGTTGAAATTTTCCCAAAAATTAACCACGTTTGTTTCAGGTCAACTTCTGAAAAAATTTTGAAATTTTCCCATAATGAGCTCCACATTTTCCTCTTTCTCCAGGAAAAATTTCAAAATTTTCCCTTTGCCAGTTTTCCAGAAAAAAATTAAAATGCAAGAGGTGAATTTTCCTTAATTTTGCAAGTCCATTTTCCAGAATTTTTCCTGGAGTCATTTTTCATTGGAAAATTTTGAAATTTTCCTATAATGAGCTTTACACTTTCCTCTCTTTCCTGGAAAAATTTCAGAATTTACCCTTTGCCAGTTTTCCAGAAAAAAATTAAAATGCAAGAGGTGAATTTTTCTTAAATAAGTCCATTTTCCAGAATTTTTCCTGGAGTCATTTTTCATTGGAAAATTTTGAAATTTTCCTATAATGAGCTTTACACTTTCCTCTCTTTCCTGGAAAAATTTCAGAATTTACCCTTTGCCAGTTTTCCAGAAAAAAATTAAAATGCAAGAGGTGAATTTTTCTTAAATAAGTCCATTTTCCAGAATTTTTCCTGGAGTCATTTTTCATTGGAAAATTTTGAAATTTTCCTATAATGAGCTTTACACTTTCCTCTCTCTCCTGGAAAAATTTCAGAATTTACCCTTTGCCAGTTTTCCAGAAAAAAATTAAAATGCAAGAGGTGAATTTTTCTTAAATAAGTCCATTTTCCAGAATTTTTCCTAGAGTCATTTTTCATTGGAAAATTTTGAAATTTTCCTATAATGAGCTTTACACTTTCCTCTCTTTCCTGGAAAAATTTCAGAATTTACCCTTTGCCAGTTTTCCAGAAAAAAATTAAAACGCAAGAGGTGAATTTTTCTTAAATAAGTCCATTTTCCAGAATTTTTCCTGGAGTCATTTTTCATTGGAAAATTTTGAAATTTTCCTATAATGAGCTTTACACTTTCCTCTCTTTCCTTGAAAAATTTCAAAATTTACCCTTTGCCAGTTTTCCAGAAAAAAATTAAAATGCAAGAGATGAATTTTCCTTAATTTTGCTTAAATAAGTCAATTTTCTGAATTTTTTCCTGGAGTCATTTTCTATTCGGAAATTTTGAAATTTTTCTGTAATAAGCTCAATACTTTCCTCTCTCTCGTGGAAAAATTTCAAAATTTTCCCTTTGCCAGTTTTCCAGAAAAAAATTAAAATGCAAGAGGTGAATTTTTCTTAAATAAGTCCATTTTCCAGAATTTTTCCTGGAGTCATTTTTCATTGGAAAATTTTGAAATTTTCCTATAATGAGCTTTATACTTTCCTCTCTTTCCTGGAAGAATTTCAGAATTTACCCTTTGCCAGTTTTCCAGAAAAAAATTAAAATGCAAGAGGTGAATTTTCCTTAAATAAGTCAATTTTCTGGATTTTTTCCTTGAGTCATTTTCTATTGGAAAATTTTGAAATTTTCCTATAATGAGCTCTACACTTTCCTTTTTTTCCTGAAAAATTTTCAAAATTCACTTTGCTAGTTTTCCAGAAAAAAATTAATTTACAAGAGGCTGCATTTAATTTAAATAACAATGGAAAAGTCTAGGAAAATCGGAAAATTAAGGGAAAAAAAGTTGGTTTTGGGACTTTTTGGGATCCCCTTTACAAAATGACTATCTTGAAATTCCGAAATTTTGACTTCGATTTTTGCCCCTATACCTATAGCACAGGCAACTCTTGAAAATGACGAAAATTGAAACTTCAACCGGTCATAGATCGGTAACCGTAAGTCGTAGAGGAAAACTGTTCATGGGCAGACTGTAGAACTCGACGAGATCTACAAAAAAAGCTCAGTGAGTTGTTCCTCTACGACTCACCATTTCCAAGATATTCCACTTGGAAATTTTAAAATCGGAACCCAGGATTTTTTTTCAGCGAAAAAATCAAAGTCAAAATTTCCCGGATTTTTTTTCATGACGTCATAGAGGACGTTCAGACAAATGTCGGAACCCCCTTTTCCCCCCTCAATTCTCAGTTTTTCCCTGGAGTTTTTGTTTTGTTCCTTTATAGGTTTCTTATGAAAAAAATGGAAAATCGAAATTTTCGAATTTCGAAAAAACAAAAATTTCGTTGTATAGAGGAGGTCAAAACAAACAGAAAACCTCTTTGGCATTTTCCCGTAGGACGTCTCCTAAGCCTGGAAAAAAAATAGAATATAAAATTATTAGGGAAACTTTTCCCAACCTGACATGGTCTTATCAAATGAGCCATAACTTTGAAACGCCTGGACCGATTTCAATGAATAATATTCCATTCGATAGAGGATTCAATTACCTACAAAATGGCTTTATTCAGAATTTCCAGAATCCTACCGTTTTTAAGTTATACTACTACGCCTTCATGTTTGCCCTTGATTACAATGGCTAGGTCATCTGCGTAGCCTATGACCTGGTATCCAGCACTACTCAGTCTGGTAAGAATTTTGTCTACCACCAGTGTCCATAGTAGTGGAGAAAGAACACCCCCTTGAGGACACCCTCTGACCGTGGTAGCGGTAGCTGATGCTCCGTTTATTTCAGCCGTAACGTGACGGTGTTCAGCATCGACTCTATCTATTTACAATTGGGAAAGAAATAATTACATCTCAACAAGGAATGCTGCAATGGAAATTGGAGGAAAAATACTATAAGGCCATAACGATATGATGCACAGATAATCAAAGTCCGGTTTTCAGATGTTCTCTCAATAGGTAGGGTTGCGCACACCACCTTTTTATCATTTGCTTGTTCTATTCTTGCCACCAGTTGGTGTAGGGTCGTTTCGCAAATGATAGACATGTTGGTTTTGGTGGAGAAAAGTTTCCCTGACATGTTTATCAATGAGTTCTTCAATCGTCTTCATAATAAAGGACGATGGTGTGCAAGAAGTCTTTCCCAGGTTTTGTTATAAAGATTATTCTGGCCTTTCTCCATGTTTGAGGTATATATTCTGTGGCTAGGCTAGCTCTTAGTAGCGGTATTATGATGGACTTGCGCTGCTGGAGTAGAGCAGGTATAATGCTATCAGACCCTGAGATTTAAATGGATCATTGCCCATCTCTATTTTTTCATAGAATATTTTTGCTGTGTTTCAGTTCTCTTTAGCAGTGTACTTTATACATAGTGTCTGTGTTATAGGGACAAGAAAATTTGCACCGAGCACTAAATTTGCATGCAGCCAGATAAATTATCGACGTCGGAATGATCCGCAACATTTAATGCAAAACACGGCCGGCCATTAAATAAATTGTATTTTTAAACGTCGACCACAGGATCCGTATTTATGGTGCACGCGTATAACATTTATTCATCGTGGAAAAAAAGTCTTTTTTTCAGTTGCGTGATGAGACGATTCCGCCGAGATGCACGCTACCAGACTTGTTTTTTTTTTAACCGCGCTTGCTCTACACACAAAGCGAACGCGAATCTCGATCATTCATAAGAACATTTTATGTATTCAAAGTGGTAGTTTTATATTTTGTAATAATTTTTGCCAATGATTCAGTGCCAAGACTTTTCAGTGGGTCCTATTGTTTCTACACAATTTTGTGGGATATGATCGCAACTTTCTAATACATGCTCCAATAATAGATGAATCAGTTGATGGAATTTGTTGATGTCACAAATGATTAAAGGGCGATTTATACTATACGTATATAAGTATATTTAACGTATCGTATGAATCAGGCCTAATATTTAACATTTTGAAAGAAATAAAAAAATACCTACAATACAACAACTTCTCTCACATTAAAGATTCATCTGATCTGGTTATTAAAGAATCGGAATCGCAGCAGTGGCCCGATTTTATTTATATAATCGGCATTCGGTTGGCGAACCGACGCACGCGAATTGTCAATAACAATAATTAACTAATTGGAGCTGATTTGCATACACCCGTAAATATTGAACGATTTCCAAAAATAGTTTTATCTAAATTGGGTGCGAGCCGTTGAAAGATTGCCTAGTTAAAAAATAATATAACGAAAGTGACGACGCGAGTGGAGATTAATTAGAGACAAATGAGACGAAAACATTTCGAGAGAGAGAGAATCATGGTCCATGAAATGAGCCCTCTTTCATCATCCGAGGGTCTGACAGGCAACACGATGCTCTCTTGTTAAGCCTAATAAGCATAATACGGTTTTTTTTACCTTTGAAGATAATAATTATCGACGAATCGGAAAATAAAGAAAACGTAATATATCTGTCATGATGATTTATTTCCTTAATTACGTGGGATCTTTCTCATGTGGTTATTAATTGATTTTTAATTTTTGACAATGTTTCTTTTGGAATTATCATAAGAAGATTTAAATTGCCTCGAGAAAAAAATCGGTGTCCGATTACCTTGAAATAATTTATTTAATGTGTAACCGATTTATCATACGTGCGAGGCATTATAAATATCCGAGCGTGTTTTAATTAAAAATAACTTGCACTTGGGTTTCACTTTTAATTAAACAAATAAAAGAATTTAATTTTCTTCGTCTGCGGCGTCCGCGCCCACGATTTAATTATTATTAACAAGCCTACTACGATAAATTATTATGGGATTCAAATTCAACCCCTTCATAGTCTTCATCCCCAACGATTTAGTAAATGGTAAAAATGCAGAGGCACGTTACAAATCATGGTCGCGTCAGTAAGCCAGGATCAAGTTTAAACCCGGCCTAAATCGGGAATGATAAATGTTTCGCCTTCCATCCAAAAGAGGACTGTACACCACCCATTTGTCAATATATATATTTCGAATTTTTTCAAGTTCGTGCCAAAATCTCGTAAAGCAGGGGTGTGTTAATAGAAAATCTTACACAGAGGGCATTACATAAATCTGTCACGAGAATTATATGATTTCTCATTGTGCCTTATCTATTGTGAGAGAGAATTGGATTATATATTTCTCGGCTCGAGAAATTGGAGCCTCTTATGGTGTGTTTATTGCTTTATTTTAGTTGAAGGAGGGTGCGAATTTTGTTAATTAAAACTACTAGTTACCTTTCGAGATGTTTGACAATATCTTCGTAAGCTGCTCGACAATTTTCCCATATCCCTGACCTAGAAAAAAAAAACAAACTCATCATAATTGCTCTAATTCTCATACAAAATCGATTATAAAATTGAGTGCCTCAAGATGAAGGGGTTGTTTGCATTGTACAGACAATAAGTCCGTTTTCTTCGTCATTATCGTCATTCCAACGTTGTTGGAGCCTGTAATTAAAATGCAAATCCGTTCCAACGAATGCGTGTACACGTCACGAAGAAGCGCCATCATTAATTCAAACCCAGGTAGGAAACACTCGAGGTTGTATGTTTTACAATTATCAGAAAAGTATAAACACTACTGAGAGAGGATCTTTGAACTTAAATCCTCAGGCTCGTCGTCTACGACACGTATAGACCTTGTGGATTAGAACTCTCTTAATCCGGGCATTTTGTAACTTCACGACCGCCATTAATTCGGTTGATGCGAATTAATGATTCGGGATTTTTGCATTAGATGTTCTTACCTTGCAATCGCCTCCATGGCGGGCATGCCCTGATTTTTGATGATCGACCCGTCGTGTCGACTCAAATTGTGCGGCATCGCGGGCGACAAAAGGGCCGAATGCGCAGCGGCCGGATGCGGTAGCTGCATGAATTGCATGTGGCTCAAGTGCGGCGGATGATTGTAGCCGTTGGCCAGTAGTGGGGATTTTTCTAGTCGTGCCATATCTGAAATCGAAAAAAATTTAATCATTTGTGGATGGTGTATGCAAATATCTGTGTATATATATATATATATATATATATATATATATTGGACGTTGAAAATCACTGTTGTTGTTGTGGTTGATTCGAATCACGCGATTTGTTTACTTAATGGTTAAGCCCTGGTCCCACCAAAGTGTGATCAGCGTCGTACAACTTACATTCTGTCATGATACAGACTGGTTTGTCAGCTTTGCGCAGGTGAAACCCACACATTTACGCTGTGAGTTATGCGTCACGCACTGTCCAAACAAACCGTAGCTTTAGTCTTTTTAGGCCGGTTTTTCAATAGCAAGCCACCCCCCGAGTTAAAAGCATAACTTCAGGGTAAATATTGCAACTGGAAACGTTTATCCTGAAGTTAAAACTAACCCGCTAATGAGAAACCGACCCTTTGAGTTGAACAGATCGTGTTATTCAGGATTTAATTCGATTGCTCTCGAATAACGTATGCAATTTATTAGCCCATTGTTCAACACTCCTGTTAATCAGCGGTAATTAGTGCATGAACAATGCAATTTTACAATAAACTATTTATTTTATTGTTCTGTCGTTGCTGCCAAGAAGAGAATAAAATGGCCATTAAAAAAAGTTTCTACATTGAAATCAGATTGCATGAAAAATATGGTTATTAATGGAAAAACACATCGTTTAATCATGTAACCAGTGGTTATGAAATAGTATATAATGTCTTAGGAGAACCGACTGTATAGAAAGTCTTGAGGTAAGTACTGCTACAAACTCACTTTTTAGGGTCGGAAGTTTAAATCAAGCAAGTGATTATTCCCGGCTCTTGATTCCAATCAAAAGCCATTGAAGTTTGATCCACCCTGTATCAAAATAGTTTTTAAATTATAAACTATAAACATACATTTTTTCAAATGGGACACCCTATACCGGTCTGGCAAGTGAACATCTTACATGCCAATTTAAATGCAATAGAATGAAATGTCTAGAAAAAGTCTAAAGTTGAATAAAGAGCGGAAATAATTTCCCCTGTTCCACCTCCAGCGTTCCCAGCGCTGTATGCTGGAGGTGGAACAGGAGAAATTGTTTTGGTTCTCTATTCAACCTTAGACTTTTCCTGTACATTCTGTAAGATGCTGACTTGCCACACATATATATTAATAACTCATTGGAAAGGTTTGCTTTTGCTGATTTCAATGGTCTAATCTCTGTACTCACAGAAATCACAAACTATCAGAGCGGGGACACCCTGTACAATGCGGTAGATTGGAAAAAATGTGAACGTGGTAATACCTTGAAAAATTATAACTTCAATTGACTACCGTGTATATTAGGTGTAATTGCAGTTGATTTGATTTGTTCAGGGACGGACTTTCAGTACATGTGGCGTACCATTTTTTCTTCAAAACATTTAACACACATGTGCTGCAAGTCCGTCCCTGGACTCCTAGACAACTCAAATCAACATTAAGTAGTTGCACAACACATACAGAGGAAAAAAATTGGATTTTTTTGTAAAATTTCAACACCCTGTATTTTAGAAATGACGTACATCCGACCATCGGTGTCCTATCTCAAACTCTATATGTATACCCTAGCATTTTTGACCAGTTTAACAAGGATACCCTGTAGATTTAGGCTAATTATACAGGGTGTTTTCAAATTTTCTAAAACACAATATTCAAGGAGGCAATTTTTGGGTCCATTTTAAGAAGAAAACTCCATATTATGAAGGTATATCCTAAGAGTAGGTATTTTTTGAAAAATCTAGATGATATTCAAGAATTTTCATGTTGATGTTTTACACTGAATCAATTGGAAATTTCAGTCAAATGAGCTCCTATTCTTCCTCTTTTCAACCAGAAAATTTCAAAATTATTCCTGCGACAGTTTTCTCTGAGATACGTTGATAATACATGAAGTTTTCTTCTTGAAATGGACTCAAATATTGAGTTTAGCTTAAAAAACGTCAGGGTTAGACTACGTTACTGCGTTCATTTAATTGACAATATTCAGGGTTGCCAACTTAGTAGATTTTCTACCAAATCTCGTAGATTCAGGTCTTCATTTGGTGGGTAAATTTATGTTCTAATGGGCAGTAGAAAATGTAGTAGAATAGTAGAATCCGAATTATAATTAAATGACCTCCTTATACTATTGCTACACTCACTAATAATCTAATTTAGCTGAGATGGTAATATACTAGGTATGCGTCACAGTCAAGTCAAGTCACCCCCGGGTTAAGCATTACTCCAGGGTAAATATAGCAACTATAGACATGTTTACCATGGAGTTAAAGCCAACTCAAAGGTGACTCGCTATTGAGAAACCGATCCTGAGGGGAGTTAGCAAGGCTTAGTAGATTTTTTGGTAGAAATAAAAAACTACTCAATTCTCGTTTAGTAGATTCAATAATCTCATTTAGTAGATCTACCTCCGGAAGTGTTGACAACCCTGAGTCAATATTGACAATTCTATTATCTGTCACCCACAACAGGTAAAATGAGAAAGGTCCATTGTCTGTTATGAGACTCGATATGGAATACCACAGCTTCGGACGTACCGTGTAATATCTATGTATCGAATAATAGAATCGCTATTTTGACAATTCTATACAAATTTCGACCTATAAAATAGAATCCAGCAACATTGTAGGCTATATATGCAGATGACCTGAACAGAATTTGTAAGATTATCCAATTTTTGTCAATTCGCCTTTCAACAGGAATTAGTAATGTTACTTTACCAAACTAGTAGCATAATGTGACAAGTTATTCAAGTACAAATGAGTGAATTGCTGCGGAACTTATGGGTGGACCTCTGCGGGACGAGCGCAGCGAGTTCCGCAGCCATCTATTCATCAATATTTTGTCTAATTACGATACTAACCTGACACTCAAATGTTAGTTATTCTCATTAGTTTTAAAATTACACGTTTCAGGTGAATGTCTTACTTGAACAGTTCAACCAGTATATTGGTGAGTAGATGGCTGGCTCTACCTATAAGTTCCGCAATAATTCACTTATTTGTACCTGAGCAATAACTTATTATATAAAGTCAAAATTTGTAAGATTATGATTATCCACTTATTGTCAATTTGCCTTTCAACAGGAATTAGTAATGTTACTTTACCAAACTAGTAGCATAATGGGACAAGTTATTCAAGTACAAATGAGTGAATTGCTGCGGAACTTATGGGTGGATCTATTAATCAACATATTGTTTAATTACAATACTAACCTGACTCACTCAAATGTGGGTTATACTCATTAGTTTAAAAACTTCATGTTTCAGGTAAATCTCTTACTTGAACAGTTCAACCAGTATATTGGTGAGTAGATGGCTGGCTCCACCTATAAGTTCCGCAATAATTCACTTATTTGTACCTGAGCAATAACTTATTATATAAAGTCAAAATTTGTAAGATTATGATTATCCACTTTTTGTCAATTTGCCTTTCAACAGGAATTAGTAATGTTACTTTACCAAACTAGTAACATAATGTGACAAGTTATTCAAGTACAAATGAGTGAATTGTTGCGGAACTTATGGATGGACCTCTGCGGGACGAGCGCAGCGAGTTCCGCAGCCATCTATTCATCAATATGTTGTTCAATTACGATACCAACCTGACTCACTCAAATGTGAGTTGTTCTCATTAGTCTAAAAACTACATGTTTCAGGTAAATGTCTTACTTGAACAGTTCAACAGTATATTGGTGAGTAGATGACTGCGGAACTCGCTGCGCTCGTCCCGCAGAGGTCCACCTATAAATTCCGCAATAATTAACTTATTTGTACTTGAACAATAACTTATTATATAATGCCAAAATTTGTAAGATTATGATTATCCACTTATTGTCAATTTGCCTTTCAACAGGAATTAGTAATGTTACTTTACCAAACTAGTAACATAATTTGATAAGTTATTCAAGTACAAATGAGTGAATTGTTGCGGAACTTATGGGTGGATCTATTAATCAACATATTGTTTAAAAACTACATGTGTCAAGTAAATGTCTTACTTGACCAGTTCAACAGTATATTGGTGAGTAGATGGCTGCGGAACTGGCTGCGCTCGTCCCGCAGAGGTCCACCTATAAATTCCGCAATAATTAACTTATTTGCACTTGAACAATAACTTATTATATAAAGCCAAAATTTGTAAGATTATGATTATCCACTTTTTGTCAATTTGCCTTTCAACAGGAATTAGTAATGTTACTTTACCAAACTAGTAACATAATTTGACAAGTTATTAAGTACAAATGAGTGAATTGTTGCGGAACTTATGGGTGGACCTCTGCGGGACAAGCGCAGCGAGTTCCGCGGCCATCTATTCATTAATATGTTGTTTATTTACGATACTAACCTGACTCATTTAAATGTGAGTTATTCTCATTAGTTTAAAAACTACATGTTCCAGGTGAATGTCTTACTTGAACAGTTCAACAGTATATTGGTAAACAGATGGCTGCGGAACTCGCTGCGCTCGTCCCGCAGAGGTTCACCCATAAGTTCTATAATAATCCACTTATTTTAAACCATTCTATCTGTACAAGTAAGTGAAAGCTGCAGGTAAAATTTGAGGTACTTGGTTTCTCTGATAGTATTTTCAAAATTTTTAGAATCAAATATGTTGGAGACGGCTCAACCAAATATAGACAAACTATATAGGTTTGGAATCGGGAAACTATGCTCTTCAAGAATATAGAACCAAATATAGGACATTCCATTTGAAAAAAGCAATATGTATACTTAGACTTAGCTGTGACGGTGAGATATAGAAAAACCAAAGAGAAAAACGCGATAATGTTAGAGTCGATTTAAAATGACTAATGACGCCTTGTAAGTGATCCGTCTTGCCTTGTAATTAAGGGGCCCTATGGAGAGTACATTCAAAGCAAATTATTGCCGCAAGAACCCTCTGTATACATATATATTTCATAAATGCGCAGTGTAAAATTAACGAAATTCCTCCATTTGAAGTGGCTAGGTATGTGAGTTATTAAACCTTTTGAAACAACACAATCGTTATAATTAAGGTAGCGAGGAATGTACCGTGTATACCGTGTGCCACTGTGGGGAGTATAACAGCGACATTTTTGGCGTGTATTAATAAATCCGAAGAGGGGATTAGCGGTATTTGTATTGTGTATAATTTTAACCCTATATATATTGAATATAAAACCAATGCGATTGATCTTCCACATTAAACAATATAATGATAGAAAATTGCTATAATTTCGAAGATTTGTCTGTAAGCGCTCGAGCTTTTGGGACCCGGCAAAACAAATTGTAAATTGGGGCCTCGGAATTAGCCGCGGGCCACACAAAAAGGTGCATGTCACTGAAGAGGTAGATTTTAAAAGACGATAAACGACCAGCAGGGTTTAAATGGAGGATTATAACGTCAAAAACCAATGATATGAAAATCCTGGCGAAACATTATTCGATCCTCAATGAAACTAAAAACGATATTTTCATGCGGAAAAAATCCATATATGAATCAAAAGGCTTCGACGTTTGCCATCTGGCCCTTATTGCGTACGACTTTTTGATTGAATAATTGCACATGCAACATTATAAAGTACAAAGCACGAATTGCATGCGAAAATAAAATATTGTCCAAGGCGCATTAGTTAAAAGTTGGCGTGATTATTATACAAATATAGAGCGTTGCACGTTTCACCCTCAAAGTCAAAAGACGCTGCGGAATAAATCTATTTAGAAAGTCTTTTGACAGTCGTAATAGGAAGCCATTAGGGTGGAATGTAGCTATGCGATCGGAACAGACAACGTTGACATATTTGAACTATAGGAGGGTGCGATTTTAATTGTTTTAGTTTTCATATTATTATCGAGGAAAAATCTCATAATCCTTGGCTTCGTCTTAATAAAAGTTGCTGAATCACAGGATCGTTTCGTGTAATTACCAAACTCTGAAGCTTTTATAAGTTTGTCTAGCGCTCGTAAAACTGGTCTTTAAGTGAGTGTGTTTATTTGATTGGCCATTTTTCTTGTAGGGGTTGTACAGAGTGTTCAAGATTCGATATTGTTGGGGGGGTTTCGGGTAATTCAAGATCTGATCCCCACTTGCGAGCCTCGAATTTCAAGAGAAATTGACTAGTGAAAACCGCATTTCGATATGTCGAGTCGTTTTTGAGAAGTTTGGAGTTTGGCAGAGAATTTATAACTTTTTTATTTATGGAAATTTTGTCAACTTTTCCCCTTGTAGCTTTAAAACGAATCGTCACCGGTCAAGTTCTCTTGGACACCCTGTACATTGCTCAATTTTACAATGAACTTTTAACAGTTAATTTGTTCAATTCTGTTGTCAACAAGTGTTTGTGTTCGTTTCAACCCTTTCGCCCCTGAAAAATCAAAATCAATTTCTTTGCCGTTCGTATAACGGACTGTCACCGACACAATCGCCAGGAAAAAGGCCCCATTTCCATTAGGAAACCACCTGAAAGCGTCGAAGCGAGCGAGGGCAAATTATAATTAATTCCTTTACAATTGCTGATGGGCTGTTTTTTTCCCCCGATTATGATTCTATAAATGGTGTCAGGCACTAGAAGGGATAATAATCCTGAAAACAGTAAAATCGTCGATAAAATCCAATAAGATTAGTTCGGACATCGTTAAAAGTCCCCATCGGTGGAAAATAATTTAATTATATTTATATGGTGTTTTACGGCCGGACAATAAAAACGTCTTGCTTTGATATAAACCCGCCTTTAATTAACTTTTGTGTTCGAATATGAAACTATGATCGGCATTAATTTACTTATACTTGGCTCTAATTCCCATTTGCGAGTGTATTAATTACCAGTTGTCACTGTTTTTGAGTCTGAAAACGTTTCAACCGCACTGGACTGGGGCTTTTATTATTCTTCGCTTCGTCTGTCCGTCTCATGGTTTTCTCGGTAAAAAGGCGCACACAACGCCCATTCGGAGCCTCTAAATCAGCATCGGGGTTAATAAAACACAGATAGAAATGCTGGCACGTAATCGGCACCATAAACATTTGCATTGCTCGTAAAGATGAACCGCAGAAATGTGCACAATTAAAACCCATCTAATTATTTTTGTTAATGGGTGCAGAGGTCGCGGTTATGGTCAGTGGGGCGTCCTTTGTAGGCGCCCAGCGGCGTTTCGGAACAGCTTTTCCACGTGTCTAATCGATTGTATTTAAGGTTTGATGTTTGTAGCAATTTTCTCTATGTTGAAATTAAAGATTTGAACAATATGACTACAAAGTTTCAACTTTGACGCTTAATTTCTCAGACTCTAATAACGGAACTGAATCCATCCTTGGGGGATTTATAGAGAATTTAATCCTCTTTCAGAAAACCCATAATACAAGTTGATTCGATGAAAATTACGGAAACTGTGATTGAATTTGTGATACCTTGTCAGGACTTTTGCAATTTTCTTTAGATAAAACTAAAATTTTCTTTGTAATTTTTTTTCTTAGAAAATAATTTTTTTGGAAATATTTTAGGACTTGTTTCCGGCTAATTTTGACTTGCTCTTTCGATTAAAAAAGTCAAAATTTGAAAAAACTGAAAAACAGAAAATTTCGTTTTTTTTAGCCATTTACCCCCTTTGGATTTGTTATTCAAAATCTTCAATTTGCAATATTTCAATAACCATGAGAGATATCGAGCCAATTTTTTCTGCATTTGTAGCCCTCTTCGAGTACTTATATGCCATATTTGATAAATATTTGTTGTCCTTATAGTTTTCGAGTAATTTGAACTTGAAATTTTCGACATTATGAGGGCAAAGTTTCAACCTTTGCAACTCAATTTCTCAGACTGTATAGAAGCAACTGAATCCGTTTTTGGACGATTTATAGAGAATTCAATCCTCTTTCAGAAAACCTATAATTTAAGTTGATTCGATGAAAATTACGGAAACTGTGATTGAATTTGTGATACCTTGTCAAGACTTTTGCAATTTTTTTTAAACAAAACTTACATTTTCTTTGTCATTTTTTCTCTTAGGAAATAATTTTTTTGTAAATGTTTTAGGACTTGTTTCCGACTAATTTTGACCTCCCCTTTCGATTAAAAAAGTCAAAATTTGGAAAAACCGAAAAACAGAAAATTTCGTTTTTTTTAGCCATCTACCCCCTTTGGATTTGTTATTCAAAATCTTCAATTTGCGATATTTCAATAACCATAAGAGATATCGAGCCAATTTTTTCTGTATTTGTAGCCTTCTTCGAGTACTTCAATGCCATATTTGATAAATGTTTATTGCCCTTATAGTTTTTGAGTAATTTGAACTTGAAATTTTCGACATTATGAGGGCAAAGTTTCAACTTTGCAGCTTGATTTTTCAGACTCTATTGAAGCAACTGAATCCGTTTTCGAAGGATTCATAGAGGATTTAATCCTCTTTCAGAAAATCTACAATACAACTTGATTCGTTAAAAATTACGGAAACTGTGATTGAATTTGTGATACCATATCAGGACTTCTGCAATTTTCTTTAACCAAAACTGATAATTTTTTTTCTCATAAAATATTTTTTTTGGTAACAACTTAGGACTTGTTTCCGGCTAAATCTAACCTCCTCTTTCGATTGGGAAAATAAAAATTTTAAAAAAATTAAAAATAAAGAAGTTCTCATTCAAATTCTTTACATCGTCCATATAAGAGAAACTTATTAATCGGTCCTTCGGATTATAAAAGCAAACATTCCAAATAAAAAAAACCGCCGAAGATATAAACCTTTTGAAAAAAACTAATTATAATACTCCCCATATTTCCGATGGATTCAACGTTTATGATCCCGGGAGCAATAAATTCGTTTAAAGTTCGTAAAATCGCGTCGTCGAGAGATGATATTTAAATGGATCGTTAAAATAATGCAACTTAGGGCTCGTTTTCGGTGATTGGTAAGTGCTTGTTAGTTAACTAAAAGAAAAAAAAAATATATTATAATTCCCACTAATAACAAAACCAGGCTTTAATCCGATCATTCAGTGACAGCGGCCTGCTCTCTTTTCATTTTACTCCGGAGATAAAAGTCACTTAATTTTTGACATTAAGAGACGATTCAATGATCAAGATAAAATAATACACATTCGATTTTATTGAATTACTGATTATTCAATAATTAATTTTATGCAACCGCTTTTTTACGTGTGCACGCAATGACATTTAAGTGGTCCCATGATAAATCTAGGACAAAATCGAATCGTGTCTGTGCAATTTGAGTACTATTCGTGAGGAATATCAATCTCCCATAATATATCCCGAGCGAAATTTGCGCAATTAAATGGGTCCAATATGGCAATCCGCTTCGCAATTTGCCCGGGTAATAAACGGCCATTATATTAAGGCTAAAGGAGGACTGTATTCAATCCGTCCGAACAGAGCATTCTAGACTTTGAGGTTATCAAACCGTGAAAAAGGCAGACATTAAGGGTATGGTGCACACGGCGCACAGCACTGCCTAACAACACCGGGGAATTCATAATGGAAACGTGCAATTTACATTTTAACTAATGTCTTTAGCAGGGCCGCAATGGGAACATTTTTGCTTCGCCGATTATACACTTATAAATTGATGCAATAAATTTCAATGATATCACGAATTTCAAATTAGTATAGTGCAGTTTTTCTTGTCCCTAGCTCGATTGTTCAATTCCCATTTAAGTTTGCTAAGGTTTGGGACAAATTACACGAATTATCACTTACCGCCCATATGTCCGTTTTCGTAGGGATAATCGCCGTTGTCCATGCGTTGTTTCTTCATTTGTTGGTGTTGCAAGTGCGACGCGGCCAGACTTAATCCCACGGGAGCTCGTTTTGGCGGTCGGCCGGGTCTGGAACTGCAAAATGGTAGAGAATTACCGTTGAAATTGACAATTTTTACAAATAATTTTTCAATATATACTAAAACAATATTGCCCGGCTATAAAATTCCAATATACAGTTAACCATGGAGGAATCTCTGAAAAATCAAATATAATAAGATCCCTCCTGCTTCTCTCCGGCATAAAAAAAAAACTCCATTAGGAATTTTTAATCAAGCTTATAATATACGAATCGTGGAAAAAGTTTCGGCTAATCAATCCCCTCCATTGGATCGAAGTGAAAAATAAAGAGAAAAATCCTCTTGCAGGAGTTAAATGCGATCCGAGGAATGTTCTCCTAGGGGGGAGGAGGTGAAAATTCCACCAGGCAAATTAGCTCGGGCCGAGGGGGAGAGCGACTTAATGAAGGAAAGAAATGTTACGTTTTGCTACTTATTTAAAAATAAAAAAAAAAGGGGCGAAATAAACTTTTGGCAGGACTTAATTAATTCGTCACTGGGGACGTCGTGATTCGGAGCCGATGAATTTTGTACGTTTTTATTAAATTCATCCCCCAAGAGTTTCTGAGATGTCTGAGACCAAAGGACAACTTAATTATTGCTTTTTGCATAATTTTTCAGAGGGATGATGTTTACCTTGTCCTTTTTAGTCCAATGAATTTAAACGAGAGCGGAAATTAACCTTTAATTATTTTTTTTTGTTGGATGCTAGTAATTTACTTGGAATTATCCAAAATATCTGAGGAAAAATTCAACTATACAATTAGAGATCGCATGCTTTAACAATGGTCTCTAGGTGGACAGAGACTGTAGGGTTGAAAGTTAGTGCCACTAAATCGACAATTGTCCCTGTTGTGTAATCTCGTAATGAGAGATAATTATTTAATAGAACTTTATTTAAAATCTTACAAAAATTGACAACTTTGTCATCTTAAAACTGGTGACCACATCTGGTAATATAGAAAAGGTAATAATAATTAAAAGTACGTTTGTGTATCATACAACATTTTCTTTTATTTACGACTAATGTATAATGTGCGTATTATATTTGTGATTTTGGCAGTATAATGACATATGTTATTCCTCCAGGGATTAATGACGAGTAGCGGGATTAATGGTCATTATTCCACAAAAGTGTCAGTGTCAGACGTGTAGTGCTTGTGGATTTGTATTGAAAATTATGAGACGGATGAAATTTGTTCATTGAAAATCTCAAATAAATTAATTTGTCGTAAATAAAGTAGAGTATACTACTCGCAATAATGGCTATTATTCCCTCGGAATGTTACTCCCTCGCCGCTAACGCGGCTCAGTTCGTAATAATCCTCGGGAATAATAGCTATCATTATTGACTCGTGGTCTAATCTACTATTAAATTTAAATAAAACGATTTTGGAGGTTTTGAAATTTTACCTAATACCTGATACTAACATATTGATGAATAGATGACGTGGAGGTCCACCCATAAATTCCGCAACAATCCACCCATTTGTACTTGAATAACTTGTCACATTACTAGTTTGGTAAAGTGACATTACTAATTCCTGTTGAAAGTCAAATTAACAAAAAGTGAATAATCACAATCTTACTAATTTTGACTTTATATAATAAGTTATTGTTCAAGTACAAATAAGTGGATTATTGCAGAACTTATGGGTGGACCTCTGCGGGACGAGCGCAGCGAGTTCCGCAGCCATCTACTCACCAATATACTGTGGAACTGTTCAAGTAAGGCAACTCACATTCAAGTGAGTCAGGTTAGTATCGTAATTAAACAAGATATTGATGAATAGATGGCTGCGGAACTCGCTGCGCTCGTCCCGCAGAGGTCCACCCATAAATTCCGTAACAATCCACCCATTTGTACTTGAATAACTTGTCACATTATATTACTAGTTTGGTAAAGTGACATTACTAATTCCTGTTGAAAGTCAAATTGACAAAAAGTGAATAATCACAATCTTACTAATTTTGACTTTATATAATAAGTTATTGTTCAAGTACAAATAAGTGGATTATTGCAGAACTTATGGGTGGACCTCTGCGGGACGAGCGCAGCGAGTTCCGCAGCCATCTACTCACCAATATACTGTGGAACTGTTCAAGTAAGGCAACTCACATTCAAGTGAGTCAGGTTAGTATCGTAATTAAACAAGATATTGATGAATAGATGGCTGCGGAACTCGCTGCGCTCGTCCCGCAGAGGTCCACCCATAAATTCCGTAACAATCCACCCATTTGTACTTGAATAACTTGTCACAATATATTACTAGTTTGGTAAAGTGACATTACTAATTCCTGTTGAAAGTCAAATTGACAAAAAGTGAATAATCACAATCTTACTAATTTTGACTTTATATAATAAGTTATTGTTCAAGTACAAATAAGTGGATTATTGCAGAACTTATGGGTGGACCTCTGCGGGACGAGCGCAGCGAGTTCCGCAGCCATCTACTCACCAATATACTGTGGAACTGTTCAAGTAAGGCAACTCACATTCAAGTGAGTCAGGTTAGTGTCGTAATTAAACAACATATTGATAAATAGATGGCTGCGGAACTCGCGGCGCTCGTCCCGCAGAGGTCCACCCATAAATTCCGCATCAATCCACCCATTTGTACTTGAATAACTTGTCACATTATATTACTAGTTTGGTAAAGTGACATTACTAATTCCTGTTGAAAGTCAAATTGACAAAAAGTGAATAATCACAATCTTACTAATTTTGACTTTATATAATAAGTTATTGTTCAAGTACAAATAAGTGGATTATTGCAGAACTTATGGGTGGACCTCTGCGGGACGAGCGCAGCGAGTTCCGCAGCCATCTACTCACCAATATACTGTGGAACTGTTCAAGTAAGGCAACTCACATTCAAGTGAGTCAGGTTAGTATCGTAATTAAACAAGATATTGATGAATAGATGGCTGCGGAACTCGCTGCGCTCGTCCCGCAGAGGTCCACCCATAAATTCCGTAACAATCCACCCATTTGTACTTGAATAACTTGTCACAATATATTACTAGTTTGGTAAAGTGACATTACTAATTCCTGTTGAAAGTCAAATTGACAAAAAGTGAATAATCACAATCTTACTAATTTTGACTTTATATAATAAGTTATTGTTCAAGTACAAATAAGTGGATTATTGCAGAACTTATGGGTGGACCTCTGCGGGACGAGCGCAGCGAGTTCCGCAGCCATCTACTCACCAATATACTGTGGAACTGTTCAAGTAAGGCAACTCACATTCAAGTGAGTCAGGTTAGTGTCGTAATTAAACAACATATTGATAAATAGATGGCTGCGGAACTCGCGGCGCTCGTCCCGCAGAGGTCCACCCATAAATTCCGCATCAATCCACCCATTTGTACTTGAATAACTTGTCACATTATATTACTAGTTTGGTAAAGTGACATTACTAATTCCTGTTGAAAGTCAAATTGACAAAAAGTGAATAATCACAATCTTACTAATTTTGACTTTATATAATAAGTTATTGTTCAAGTACAAATAAGTGGATTATTGCAGAACTTATGGGTGGACCTCTGCGGGACGAGCGCAGCGAGTTCCGCAGCCATCTACTCACCAATATACTGTGGAACTGTTCAAGTAAGGCAACTCACATTCAAGTGAGTCAGGTTAGTATCGTAATTAAACAAGATATTGATGAATAGATGGCTGCGGAACTCGCTGCGCTCGTCCCGCAGAGGTCCACCCATAAATTCCGTAACAATCCACCCATTTGTACTTGAATAACTTGTCACATTATATTACTAGTTTGGTAAAGTGACATTACTAATTCCTGTTGAAAGTCAAATTGACAAAAAGTGAATAATCACAATCTTACTAATTTTGACTTTATATAATAAGTTATTGTTCAAGTACAAATAAGTGGATTATTGCAGAACTTATGGGTGGACCTCTGCGGGACGAGCGCAGCGAGTTCCGCAGCCATCTACTCACCAATATACTGTGGAACTGTTCAAGTAAGACAACTCACATTCAAGTGAGTCAGGTTAGTATCGTAATTAAACAACATATTGATACATAGATGGCTGCGGAACTCGCTGCGCTCGTCCCGCAGAGGTCCACCTATAAGTTCTGCAATAATCCACTTATTTGTACAGGGTGTTTTTTTATATATTGACCCCCCACCTACAGCTTCTACCTTTACAGATAGAAGAAAGGTGTAAATACAAAAGTTGTACAGTTTTGGCTGAATTTTTAGAAACCATGGTCAGAAACAAAACTTGAATGTCTGAAATGTGAAATTTTGCATGATTCCAGCTTTTTTCAAATGGGATACCCTATATTTCATTCTATATTCATTCTACCTTCATTTTACCTTTACAGCGCTACTCGGAGTTTAATCAGACGACTTCCCCATTAAAAAAAAAAAAAGTACTCCAACCCGCGTTCTCAGCATTGATGTGGGTTCGAAACCCGCCTAAAATCAAAATTTTTAATCCTCCAATTTTCCTTATATTTCATTTTCCACCTTTCCAACATTTATTAATTATTTAAAAGTTCTCTATGAATGAAGAGAGAAGTGAAGTTGTAGAGCTATACAAAAACTCCTTCCAATATATCTTTTCTCTCGGCTAGTTCTTTTTCCTGCTGGCAACTATATAAAACTCAATTACCCCGAGGGACTTCCTTTATTGCGTATATCGCACCCCATGGCCGTTTATTAAACGTTCTAGCCCTGATAAGGCAATCCGACTTATTTTCGGGGTTGTAATTTTTACGACTCTCCGGATTTCCTATAATATGTGTATGTGAGTTTATCTACCGAGACAGCGCACCCGAAACAATTCTCTGATTTCTCTTAATATTAAAGTCGGAAATAAGAGGAGGGAGGTTAATGTCAATCGTCAAGGTAATCCCCGGTGGAAGAAGTTAAAAAGATTCATAATCTGAGATTAAACCCAGGCTTCTTTTGTTTCTAAATTGTTATTGGCCCATTGAGACAGAATTTTAAGTCGCTTTTGTTATCGCCGACTTTCTTTTTT